ATTTCTCTGTTAGGTTTCTGTCTGATTGACCTGTCCAATGGTGAGAGTGGAGTGTTGGAGTCTCCTACTATTGGTGTATGGGGTTTGATGTGTGATTTAAGCATTAGTAATGTTTCTTTTACATATTTGGTCTTCTCGTATTAGGGGTATAAATGTTCAGGACTGAGACTTCATCTTGATAGATTGTTCCTGTTATGAGCATAAAGTATCCTTCTCCATCACTTCTGACTGATTTTAGTTTGAATTCTATTTTATTAGATATGATGATAGCTACACCTTCTTTTTTCTTAGGTCCATTTGATTGGAAAACCTTTTCCCAACCCTTTACACTGAGGTAAGTTGAGGTGTGTTTCTTATGTGCAGCAGAAGGCTGGATCCTGTTTTCCTTTTAAACTAAAATAGATCTAAGAAGAACTGTAACATAAACTAAATTAATAAAAATAAATATTGGAAAGAAATAGTCTTTTGTTAAAAAGTAAATCATGTTATACATTAAAGGTTAGAGGGAGTAAGAAGGATTATTTGTGTAAGGTTTACTACTGCAGTGTAAGTGTCTAAATGAGGATATATAAATGTGAATAAAAGCGATTTAAAGGAGGAAAGACAATCAGTATGGAAGTAGAAAGAAATTAAATTTAAGCACTTTAACTGTGTATTACTCTAACCACAAATGATTAATTTTGAAAAGTCCTTCTTGTTTCCACTGTCACTGTCCTAGCGCAAACCAGAAGTTCTCTCATCTGATTCCTACCACAGTTTCCTAACTGGATATATTGATTCTGATTTGTATGGTCTTCCAAACATTTTCCACACTGCAGTCAATGAGAGGTAGATGAAAAAAAAAAATCCTTAGCATCTAACCTTACCAAATGTTACCAGTATTTATAACATTAAACCAAAACTTACCATGAGCAAAATGGCTTAGACTCTGTCCCTCTCTAGTTTCTAATCTCATCATTCATCCACACACATATGTATGCATGTATATACATGTGTGTATATATGTATATATATACATTTGTGTATGTTTATATGTGTGTTTATGTGTGTAGTGTATGATATATGAACTTACCTCTCATCTTTGCTTATTCTATAGCAGTCAGATCTATACTGTTACCATTTCTTTTTATTATATTCTCGGCCCTAAGACTAACACATAGAGACCCCAACTTGCCATTCAAGTTTCAATTTTAATGCTACGTTTGTAATGAGATTTAGCTATTAAATATGAAAGAACACTGAATATTCTGCATCAGCTTACTGTTTAGTATTTCTGATAATCATGTTTTACCAAATATCAATATCTATAAAATGAACATAAAGTATAAAGATCATTTTATCTATAGTTGTGATTACTTATTGGGCCTTCTGTCAGCAGGAAAGAAACGCTATAATATCCACAACCCTGCATGTCTGAGGAACGTCTTCCTGAGCACAGTTAAAGCTATTCGGCAAATTCTTGTTGAAATTTGCAAAGGCTTACTTTAACACTATCCTTATTAAATCCTCCTCCACTGGTTTGGTAAATTTTTTGATGAAAATCATGATTTTTTTTTGTGTGCCCCCAAATTTATAAAAAATTCAATGATCTTGAAGTGAATTGTCAGTAAATTGGTCATCACACACATTATCCACTCAGTACATTTACAAATTAATAAGGAAATGGGAAAATTCTCTATATGTATCACTAGTTTGATGCTATAGCAAAGCTCATTTACTCACGTGTAAAGTAGTTACACCTTAATGTCTCTCAGAATATTTGTGTTAATGAACTACAATACTTTGGCAGGTAAAATGTCAAGCTCATCATCCCTTGCTCTTCTCTTGCCAGACATAGCACTGTTCTTTCTCTGATCATTTGTCACTTATATCAGGCATGGAAAATAAATCCCAAGGCCAAATTTAAGTATAAATGAATTTGTGTACCCCAGGAGCAAAAGTAATAACTCATAATATATGCATGAAATAAAAATCACAATAATGGCACATTAAAATTACAAGAATTTCAAAGCTCTAAGAAGAAATAAAATGCTATTATCAGGCAGGTGTATTGCTTGAATATCTATTTTCAATTCTATGACTGCGTTGAGCTGTCAAGCATGAGAGCTTAGTATGTATATCCTTTTACTTGATGGTGATGCACTGCTACACACTTGATAAGCTGTTTTTCACTAAGATAACTTACCACATACCTTATTGGAAGGTTCTGTAAATCAATTTTATACATTATCACTCAAAGTGTAAGCTCTATGAGAGAATGTGTTTGCTGAAAAGTTTTGCACATTATTGTTGGTAATTTATATTTGTGGAATATTTTAGTGAAGAATAATCACATGAGTGTCCATTTAAGGTACACAAATTCAAAGAATTTCTTTCTTTAGTATTTTACAGTAGGCTAATATGTATTTATACAGTCATGTCAAGAAGGACAAATATCTTCCTACTTAAGAAATTATTACCCATGCTATTTCATTTTAAGAAGGATCACTGGGTTTCTTTGCATAATTAACAGGGTTAAGTGCTACAAATTGCTAACTTAATTACTCTATTAAAAAATTCATTTATTTAAAGGGAAGATCTATTATCTCCTGGTCTTGAGGTACTTCTAATTAACAAACACTTGGATGTAAGAATGAAGAATATGATGTAAGGAGAGTAACTGATTATTCTGTGGGATGATTAAAGACTTGTTGGGGGCTTGTTGCTGCTGCCTGTTATGCGATCCCCATTTCCGGGGCTCAGGGAGGGGGTAGCAGGTGAGAAGATGCAGAGGCAATGACACAGAATCTAAGAGATTCCAATACAGAAGCTCTTTATTGTAAAAAAGTCAGTGATTTTATGAGGTCAAGGAAATTAAGCTGCCACAGGAATGATACGGGTTGGTCCTTTTGAAACTGGCAGTTGCTGCTCGTGTATTGTGATTGACTAGGAGGGGGTGCCATTAGCTACCTTGCTTTCAGTCCATTGACAGGTTGTTTGGACCAGTTTTGGTTATACATTATGGGTTTGCATGCACTTGGTTGTGCTTGCGCTATTGCCCGGCCTCAACGACTGAGAACTAAATTTTTACGACAGACAGAAAACATTATCCAGTAGAAGCCCACATCCTGTTGTTCCATGGTTATGGTTCATGGACTGAGTGGTAACTCTAGAAATACAACTAATGTTTGTAAAACATTACTGAACTCTATTATTTTCCAACCAAATAAGGCAAGGATTGGTGACACCTCTTCCAGATAACACTGTGACTATTAGTGAAAAAAAAGTTCACTGAAAGATTCAAGAAATCATCAAGACCCAGTGGCATTGTCGTTGGCTTCTCAGCAGCCCTCATTGTCCGCCATATTCAGAGAGTCCGGTTTTATCCCATGCTTTTTCAGCCGCAGTCCAGCTGGACTTGGTGAGCTCACAATAGATCAGCCCCACTGTCTCCGTGGGTGGGTGCACCCCTCGTGGTCCTGACTTCTTTGCTCATATTTTCCCTCCTTCTGCTCCTCCTTGGGACATTGGGAGCTCAGACC